GTCCTGTCCTGAGCATTAACACAGAAAAAAAAAAAAAAAAATGAAAAACCAGCATTTCTAGCTATAGACAGAACTGCCATATGATCCAGCAATCTCATTGCTGGGTATATACCCAAAGGCATGCAAATCATCATGTTGAAGGGAGACCTGTGCTTCTATGTTTATTGTAGCTCTATTTACAATAGTCAGGAGTTAACTAACTAACTGTCCATTGACAGACAAACGGATAAGGAAAACGTGGTAAATATACTCAACGGACTATTACTCTGCCATAAAAAAGAATGAAATTCTGCCATTCACAGCAACATGGATGAACTTAGAGAAAATTATAAGTGAAATAAATCAGGCACAGAAAGAGAAATACTGCATGTCCTCACTCATACGTGGGAGTTAACATAAAGAAAGAGAAGAAAGAAAACAAAAAAGAAAGAAACAATCATAACAATACATCGAACTTTCAAGAAAAAAAGAGAACTGAACTGTGGTTATTAGAGGTGGGAAGGGTGGGGTAGTGAGAAATTAGTTAAGGGTCAGAAAGATTGATTACGTTTTGTGAATATGAGTATACTAATTATCCAGATTTGATCATTATATATTGCACATGTGTATTGATATTTGATTCTGTACCCCACAAATATATAATCCATTATCTTTCAATAAAAAACTTTCCAAAAAAGAAAATAAATAAATAAAATAAGTGAAATTCATAGAGACTGGAAAGAGGAAAAAATTTTATTTGTAGAAAACATGATTACACATAATTCCAAGATAAAAACCAAGAAAAATATTGGATTTAATAAGAAAATATAGCAAGAATGTTGGATATAATGCCAATGTACAGAAGTCAGTTTTATCTCCCTACAAGAACAACAAATATTTAGAAATAAAAATTTCAATATAAATGCTATTTATATATTTTATGCATTGAAAATATCAAAAACTTTGGAATAAATTAAACATGTTTGTGCAAGACCTTTACAATGAAAACTAAAACAATTATTAAGGGAAATTGCAGACAACCTAAATGAATGCAAAGATATATTATGTTCATGGCCAAAATTTAAAAAAGTCAATTTCCCTCAAACTAATTGAAAAATTTGGCTGTATCAAAATTTTAATAGCTTTGCCACAGAGGGAAAAATGCCGTATGTACTCTCTCATAGGTGGAAGATAAGAGAGAAAGAATGAAGGAAAGAAAGACCACAGTGGTGTGTTGGACTTGCAGAGGGAGAGAGCAGACCTAGGAATACAAAGTGGAGTAGGGGAAAGAGGGATGGGGAAGGAGGTCGGGGATTAATTGGGTGGGTGACACGGGGTATAATCACAATTTGTGGTAATAAAGAAAAGATAGAAAACTCAGAAAAGAAAGAAAGAGAGAGAAAGAGAGAACAAGAGAGAGAGAGAGAAAGAAAGAAAGAAAGAAAGAAAGAAAGAAAGAAAGAAAGAAAGAANAGAAAAGGTCAAAATACCTGGATAGGTAATTTAGAAAAGAGAAAATCTACTAAGCATATGAAAAAGTATTCAACTTTGCCGATCATTGGAGAAATGCAAATTAACATCACAATAATATATCACTACATATCCATCACAACAGATAAAATTTGAAAGACTGGAAATACCAAATGTTGGCGATGTTTTAGAAAAGCTAGAGCTCTGGAACACCACTGATATAAAAGTAAAATGATGCAATCATTTCAGAAAAATATTTGGTCGTAGTTGATAAGATTAAGATATGTATACTTCAGGCCCTGCTGTTCAGCTCCTAGATATATAGCAAACAGAACTGAATGCCCATATTCACTAGGAAATATGTACAAAAATATCTGTAGCAGCTTTATTAAAAATAGTCAAAAACTGGAAACTTGCCATCTATCAATAAGAAAATTGATAATATACTCACACAGAATACTACATAACACTACACTGTAGCTACACACAGAACTGTGGATGATAACTAATAATATAATGTTAAATAAAAATATAATGTTAAGTGAAAAAAAAGTCAGATTTTCAAAAATACGTTTTGTTCCATATCACTCATATAAAGTAAAAAATAGGCAAAACTAAAAAATTATATTTAGGAACACAAACTTAGGTGGTAATGAAAAGCAAGGACTTGACTATCATAAAACTTTTACCTTTAGAAGTAGAGAGTGATCAGAAGAGCTTCAGAGTGTTGGCAAATTCTATATCTTGGTCTAATTCGTGGGTATTTTGATTAACTTGATAATTATTTGTTAAAGTATATATTTATGTTTAAAAAGTTATTCACGTTTGAGTAATGNTTGATAATTATTTGTTAAAGTATATATTTATGTTTAAAAAGTTATTCACGTTTGAGTAATGGTTTATAAAGTAAACAGTTTTAAAAGTATGCTCACATAATAATTTTCTTCATTTTTTAATTTTAAAATTTAATTGTATATATTTGCGGAGTACAGTGTGTTGTTTCAATACATGCTATATTGCACAATGATTCACTTAGGGTAAACAGCATATTCATTACCTAAACATTTATCTTTTCATTCATAATTTTCTAATAAACTGCATATGAATGCTTTCATTATGTAAAGTGAAAATAAAGGTAAATATGTGTATACAGGAAAAAATCTAGAAGAAAATATTTCAAATCGAAAATACATCGGAGAGGTGAAGATATGGAAGTTTTTAAATTTATGTTTCCTTGTGAGATGACAATTTTTCTGCAATGTAATATTTTCTAATTTAACTTTAGAGGAGAAAAATTGCTCACAATAAAGGCTTTTAGTTTGCGATTGTGTTGATTTTAAAGGTCATGAAGAATCAAACTCTTTTGAAAGTTTAATAATAAACTAATTAAATGCTCTTACCTGCACCATTCCAGAAGTAAAGGCAAAGGGGCTACAAATACTCAAAATCCACTCCAGAGATGAAGGAAGTTGTCTATCAAATGCAGTGAATCCCACACACCCCCAAAACAGGGTAAGGAGAAACACAACCAAATTGGTGAGGGCAGCTTTCTTTAACAACACGCTCATTAGGAATGCTAAAGCTATCTGAAAGAGAGAAGACATTTAGCTATTATATATATTTAGTTCACTGAGAATCATTGATGGCACAATAAAATAAGCATATTTATATCACACCACAAATATTTATCAGTGAGAAAGTGGTGAAAATATTAAGGTATAATGATTCCATCCTTCTCTTGACACCCCCTTTTCAAATCCCCAACAATTTCTTATAAGCATTACCAAACATACAGACAAGTTAGACCAATTTTTTTAAAAATTGTAAACGTTTAAATCTTTTTTCTTTTTAAAAATTTTTTCATTGTACATATTTACGAGATACAGTTTGTTATTTCAATACACACATATATTGTATCATGATCTAATCAGAAGAGTTAGCATGTCTATTGGATGTATACCCAGTAATAGGATTGCTGGATCTCTCAACCCCTTTTTAAAGAGGATTTGTGTTTTTCCGACTCNAGTAATAGGATTGCTGGATCTCTCAACCCCTTTTTAAAGAGGATTTGTGTTTTTCCGACTCAAATTTTGAGCTTTGTTGCTGAGCCAAGGGTAAGGGGAAAAGCTGAAAGAAGAATTGAGGAGAGGGTAGAAATGCAGATGGAAAAATTGAATGAAGCTGAATTAATGTACAAAGAGAAGGTATCTCCATACCCCCTGCAGAAAACATTCTGGAAGATGGAAGAAAATAGGGGCCCTTATTCACAGAAGGAAAAGGGGAATGAAGTGAGAAGTCATTATGAGTTAAGGTATTAGAGGGAGAAGAGACATTGTGATTGGCTACCACGTGATGGGGACCCGCAGGGATAAAAAGATGGGTCCACCACCTCTATAGAATATCTTCAGTAAGACTTACAGAAAAGTCTTGAAATTTTTAGAGTCAAAATTATTTTTTT